GTGTGTGTGTGTGTGTGTGTGTGTGTGTGTGTGTGTGTGTATGCATGAATATGAATATATAGTCAAATAGTTTTTCAATACTTGGAATTGAACCCAGGACCTTGCACATTCTAGATAAGTATGCTTGATACTGAACTACATCTACAGCCTTGGCTTTCTTGTTTGAGACTATATTATACATATTCAACGTGGGTATATTTCTAGGTTCGGTCTTCTATTATTGTTCAGTTTGTTCATGTCTGTTTTTTAAAATTAATTTTATTGGTACTATATCTATTTACCTATAGCTATATATCACATTCATCATACATAATTTGTACCTGTACATAATATATCTTGATTCCTCTTTTTTATCCTATATCTCTCCCCTTCTTCAGTCCTTCATATGTCTGTGTTATTTTATTTCACTGTCTTGGTAACTGTAGCTGTATAGTAAATCTTGAAGTCCATCAACTTTGTTATTCTTGTTCAAATTGCTTTGGCTCTTCTGTGTTTTTGCATTTTCATATAACTTTTAGAACCTACTTAACAATTCCAAGACATTAGGACTTGAACATAATTTACATCTTAATTATATTGAGTTTTCTGATCCATGGACATGGTATATATTTCCATTTATTACATATTTTAAAATTCTTATCAGCAGTGCTTTTTGGTTTTCAGTGTAGAAATCTTGCATATATTTTGTTAAATTAATTCCTAAGTGTTTTTTATTTTGTATTATTTAGTTCTATTTTAAGAGCAATTGCATTTTAAACTTTCCTATTTTTTTTAGCTAACATATAAAAGTGATGAATATGTTAATTAGCTTGGTTTAGTCATTCTACAATGTCAAATACATATATATCAGAACATGACATTTGAGCTCATAATACATGCAAGTTTTAAATTAAAAATAACATTAAATGAAATTTCTAAACTTAAAAAGTACAACTGATTTTTGTATATTAACTTCATTTCTTTTGACTTTACCAAATTCTTTCATTCATTCTAGTGGAAATTTTTTCCTTTCCAAACTCTACACTATTTTCTTCCCATTGTTTTATTAGAAAATCTAGAACTTCCATTATAGTATTGACAGTAAATGGTAAAGATGGGCAGTTTTTGCTCCTAACTTTGTGGAGAGAGAATTAACACTTTGGAATAAGATGAACCTTTTAGTTTGTGGATTTTTTTTTGTTTTGGTACCAAGGATTGAATTCATGACTGCATGCTTGCAAGGTAGGCGCTTATGCTGCTGAACTAAATCCCCAGCCCAGTCAGTGAATTATTTGCAACAGCCCTTTTATCAGATTGAGGAGATTCTTTTCTGTTTTCCATTTACTAAATATATTTTATGATGAATGATTGTTGAAATTTGTCGATTGTTTTTTTCTTTGTCTACTGAAATAATCTCAAGGTTTTTCTCATATTCTGTTAATGTGGTGAATTGCATTAATTTTTAAATATTAAAGCAACCTTGCATTCTTGGGATATGCATAGCCATAATGCATTATCCTCAATATGGTATTTTGGTAAAAATAATTTACTAAAACTTGAAGCAGCTTGTAAGAAATATTAGTCTATTATTCTCTTCTTTGTTGTTGGGTTCTTACATTTGGATACTGCTAGTCTCATATATCAAATTGAGAGGATCATGGAAATATTTTGTGTGATTAAGGGTAAAATAAGAAAGGGGGGGAAATCACACACTGACCTGAGCCATGAAAATGAATTGATCGCTTTTGCCCTTCAGAATATGCCAGGCTGTACATTCTGAAATTTGTCACAGACACTGAAATAATGGTAAGCCAATGGTAGGGCTTGGATATTGATAAAGACAGAATCAGCAGAAAATGAGGCAAAGTAACACCCACTGCTAAATGAAGTTAAGTTTGAGCAATTGGTTTAGATGTATATAGTTTAATCTCTTTCTAGTTTGTACAGCACTTTCTCTTTAAAATATTGCTTTTGTTTTTTGATACCATTAACAAGAAAATGTTAAGACATTGATTACATAACTCTTACAACTTTAAACAGATAGTAAGCACTTATAGTAAAAAATGTATACAGAAAAACGATTCCCCCCCAACCCTGTACAGAGGCTTTTCCACTAAACTACATCTCCAGGCCTTTTAATTTTTTATGTGAGCCAGGATCTTGCTAAATTGCCCAGGCTAGTTTAGAAATTGCTATCTTCCCGCCTCTGACTCAGGAGTGTCTAGGATTATAGTCATCCACCACCATACCCAGCCAAGGCCAATTTTTAAAGCTTGTGTCTTATTATATATGGATTACTTCCAGAGAAAAAGAAATTTCCTTGATGTCATATGTTAACTTTTATTATTTGTTTTACAGTGTTATTTGAAATTTATAAACATAAACAGCCTTTATTCTTTGCTTTTATATAACTATAAAAGCAAGGCACAGGAGTTAAGTACCAACAAAACTTCGAAGATAATGTAATACAAGCCAATAACTATTTTGGGGAAGGGATTGTTTGGCTGAGATTAAATTGATGCGCTGGGTTTGAATGTGGCCCCTGGTATCAGCATGGGTCCCTTCAGCTTTAGTAGGCCTGGATTCCATGGTACTGTGTGAAGATTTCCTTCTTCTGCCATTTTTTCCATTTGAATTTCATAAACTGTTTGCAACTGTTTTCACTGGCTGCACCACTTATACGTTAGTCTACCTCTGTGCTGTGTTCTTTTTCTTTTAGCTAGAGATTATAAAGTGCTATTTATTAGATACCAGTGCAGATATAAATGCAATTAACAAAACCATGTACATGACAGTATCCAGCCTTAAAGACCTAACTTGAATGATGTATAGTTTCATTAATTTCTTTTTAGGTTGCCATAAAAATACAAAGTTTAGAACCTAGAGAATGGTATCTATTCCTTCAAGAATATACTGTAAATCATTATCCTTGGGCACAGTCTCCAACATTAGAAACTGAAAAGAGGAGGTACTAGAAGGGTCGCCAAGGCTTGGGAGATCTATGCAGGATAGATAATGGCAGCTTCCCACCTGAGTCCTGAGATCTGGGTGCAGCAGGCAGAAGCAGGCTTGGCAAAAGTACAGTGGAGAGACTGAGCAGGTTTGCTCCCAGAACCCACAGAGCTGCTGTGCCAATGCTGCCCACCCCTGCTGTTCATCCAGGGTGGCAGATCTCTCCTTTGCCGACTTGCCTTGTGTGTTCATTGTGTTGAATTCAGGTGTCACAGGCAGGGCCAGAGCTGAACCTTGGGCACAGTGAAACACGGCTTGGAGTGCCAGGGCACAGTGTTGTTTCAGTTTTGTGAATTTTCTTAAAGCAGGCACAGTTTCAATAGAACAGGGAATTTTGCATTCCTCAAAATGTAGGACTGACTTTGTGTGCCCTTCATTTTTCTATTTAAAAAAAAAACTATGAAATTTTAATAGCATTCAACATGTGATCTACCCTCTTAACAAAACTGTAAACCACAATACAGTATGACAACTGATGGAATGTTGTACAACAGGTTACTAGAACTTTATTCAATTTGGCATGGTTGCAACTTTATTCTATGAAAAGCAATTGGCCACTCCCCTACCCCTATCCAGCAAGCATCTACTACTCCCTGACACTATGAGTTTGCATATTTTAGATTTCTCTTACAAGTTCAATCATGCAACATTTGTCTTTCTGTGACTGGCTTATTTCACTTGGCCTAGTGTCTTTAGGGTTTATCTATATTGTTGTGGATTGTATGAGTGCCATCTTTTCCAAGGCAAAATAATGTTTCACAGCCCTTTAGATGCGTAGTAAATCTGCTCCCTTTTCAGTTCCATCTAGTCCAAGTGGGTCCTCTTCTCTCTTGGCAATTCTGTATCCTGTAATTTCCCAAATGTTCTCATCAATGGAGGAAAAGAAGCCACTGAGGTGAGGTCTAAACAGGAACATTCTGGGAGTTGCAGTCCCACCGTTGCATGGTGCTTATCTGCTGCCCCCTGTTCTCACTGGTTTGTTTGCTATCCATCTTTCAGGGAGGGTACTTTATCAGTTGGCTCTAGGTTTTTTCATCATTCCCTTCTCCTTGCCCAAACACTTCTAGGTGAGGAACTTAATTGTTTTTCCACACTAATTTTGTATCTTTGACCACTAGGTGAGGCCGTGGTCAAGATGCCCAGGCACTTGGTGGACCCTGGCTCCTCTTTCCTTTTTCTGGATAGCTCAGGGGCAGCTGTGCAGTGGACTGCACTGGTTTCTCTGGTGGCACGAAAAGGCTGCATATGTTTTGTAAGATCCTAAAGCCAGGGGTTTGTCAGCCACTGAAATTCCATCCAAAATCCTAGGTGAATTTTCCTAATCAAAAACTTCAGTGGTTATAGAGCTAACATTTGTATTTGGTGAATTAAGTAGTAATTGAGGTTTACAAATTTTTACGTGATTTTTTGTTTGTTTGTTTTCTTCCAATGGCCTAGGAACTCCAACTTAAATACAGCTTCCTCATAGTTGCTTCTTTCTGTTTAGAGAGGCTGGCATAATATTTTGTCTTCTGGGCTCAAATAACCATGTAGTTACTGTGTAATCATATAGTAATTAGCATGTTCTATATGCATTTATTACATAATTATATTCCTGGAGGATTGCATGGCAATTATACTTGCATTCAGCATATCATTTTATATACTGTATCATGAGCAAGTATATAATTTGTTGCTGTTTTCTTTGATCCTAATTTCAGTTTACCAAGCAGGAGCTGGAAACATTTTCCTGTTGCCTGTTTGCTGGAGCTGTGCAGGTGCCTGAGTTCCTTTGACCTCACTCCATTGCATTTACCTACACATCTTGGGGAAGATAGGGACTTGTGTGCTTCTGTGGACTCTTTTGTTTGCACTCCAGACATGTTCTCCTTGTTAAAAAATCATTAAGTAATTGGCTTTGGAATTCCTCAGATTCTAGAGTTGCCTGCATGACCAGGTGAATGGCAAGATCCCAGTAAGCAGACCCAGAGTTGAGTATGTTATCACACCTATCTTTCTCTGCTTTGCAGTGGAGCATATTCCCAAAGGGAACAACTGCCTGGATGCAGCCAAGGCTTGCAACCTCGATGATACCTGCAAGAAGTACAGGTCTGCATACATCACCCCATGTACCACCAGCATGTCCAATGATGTCTGCAACCGCCGCAAGTGCCACAAGGCTCTCCGCCAGTTCTTCGACAAAGTTCCGGCCAAGCACAGCTATGGAATGCTCTTCTGCTCCTGCAGGGATATTGCCTGCACCGAGAGGCGGCGACAGACCATTGTGCCTGTGTGCTCCTATGAAGAGCGTGAGAAGCCTAACTGCTTGAATTTGCAGGACTCTTGCAAGACCAATTACATCTGCAGGTAAGTGCTGCAGCCAGTGATGAATAAGGTGCATGAGTTCTTGGTGGTGGTGACGAGATTGGCAGTCATTCCAGCTGCCAGGTACTGGTTTTCTGTGTTGCTGTCAGGGCAGAAAATGAGGCAAGTGCTGTTCCCAGTAATGAACTGGTCAGAATCAGACCTAAAAGTGTTTCCTCTGAGCTGTTCAGATTTTTACCCTCGGGACTTCCCGTTTTTTTTTTTTTTGTCTTTTTTGGTTTTTATCAGTACTAGGGATCAAACTCACAACCGCCTGCTTGCAAGGCAGGCACTTATCCCCAGCCCCGACTTCCCGTTTTTAACAGGAGACTACTTTCAGAGGGCAGGAATTGGGACAATACCGCTGTGTGTCTTAAGGAACTCTCCAGTGAGGGTGTCACTCAGATGAGGTGAGCCTGCAGGCTATGCCCAATCTGGAGGGCACGCCACGCTCAAGTTTGTCAGGAGAGGAACCAGGTGGAAATTTGGAGACTCTTGATCTTTGGAGCAGAAAAGTGGAAGAGACCAGCCAGAGGGAGTGAGCTGGGCCCAGTCTGGAGAGGTCAACTCTGAGGATGTCTGAGTCTTTTCTAGGTCAGTCTTGTAGCTGTGAAGAGTGGTGCCTTCTCACTCACCTCTTCTTCTGCCCTGCAGCCTCCTGCTAAGCCTGAGAGCTGTTGAAAAACCTTCATTTTCTCTTCTTTTTTGGTCACTTATTAATTTATTTTAATGTTTGAAGGAGTCTATAAGCATACCCTGTTAAAAAAGAGATAAGAGAAGCATTTTAGAACTATGTAGGGTGAAAAAAAAAATACTCTTTCATTCTACATTCTGTTCCCTAGCATTCTGATGCCTATTGTTGACAACTTGAAATATGCCCTCCCCCCAGAACTGAGGGTTGAATTCAATTGCTAGTCAAAGCAAGTAATTTTGATGACCACAAATTGAGTCTTTGAATACTAAGGTGATGCATGTGCCTTGTGCAGAAGAGCAGACAGTATCCAGGGCTGGAGATTCAGTCAGGCATCATATTGGATGGCACTTGCACGTTGTCCCCAGGGTAGGATCCAAGAGCCTTCAGGGAACACCATCTCTGACAAAATCCTCTGCACGCAGTAAGTGTTGAACAGGGTAGGTGAGCATGTAATGAAGTGATAATTTTCCTACATGGTTCTCATTTTAAAAGAACCCAAAACAGGCAAATGTGATATGGTGAGGATTATAGTTAGCTGAGCTTCTGATACATTGTTTTATTCTGATAGAATGACATCCATTCTTTTTATTTTTTTAATGATTTTTTGTTTTATGAAGAAAACACAAAATTTCATAACAAAATAATAAGGCAATAAAAATATTTAATACACTGTGTATCACTGTTTTCAGAACAGTTACAGAGTACAAGATATAGACAGGGAAGATTCTTTCTTACAAAGAAGAAACAAACAAAATGGCACAAAACTTTCTTTTCAATGAACTAAAAAACTCCTAATAGTAACAAAGGAAAAGTAAAATCCTTTTTGTCTATATAAGATTCTCACTTTGAATATTTTCTGGGAATGATATTCATCTACTTTGTTTAAGATTGGAAGCAAGTAACCTGCTGTATGAGGAGAGTTCAGATAACCAGGCCTCAATGAATGGTTTGCATTTTCTTGTGAGCAACTGCAAGAGATTCTTTCTCACTTCCTACCCCTTCATTCCCAAGGATGAGGCTATAGGCTAGGAGCTAGGATGGGTGTGCTAGACAGATCCTGAGGACCAGACAGGGCCTCAGCAAGCCAGCTGTCCAAAGTGTCAAACTCCTAAGTGCAGCTGAGGGACAGGACAGGAAGAAGCTGTAGGAGCTTGGCCCAGGGTGCAAAGATCAGTTGGAGCAGGGGACTCTAAAATTCTCAGAAGGCTGCTAAATCAAGAATACAGATTCCTGGGCCCTTTTACCCACTGAGCAGAAAGCATCTCCCTTCCATGAACAAGACTGAGTTTTTAAGATCTGTGCTTGGTTTAAAATCAGATAGTTCCTCTCTAAGCTAGGGGTGGAGAGGAGGAGCCAAGTGACCTGGTCCTACCTGGAGAAGGGAAGCTGTGTGGGGCTGAGATGGAGCAGTAGCTAAGCTTTTGTTAAGCAAAGGCTGGGAGGAGGGAAAGGAACCTTGCTTCTCACAGGTTTATCTTATTCAGGAGGTCCAGAGAAGGTCTGTGAGCCTCCTAGGCAAGCCAAAAGCACATCTTGGAGGTTAATTTGCATTCCCCAGTCTATCCTGCTGAAAGAATCCTAGGAGTTCAGGAGGTCATATTTTTTTTCTTATTAATCGATAGTAAAAATAGCCAAGATTCTGGGAACTTGGAGGGCTGTGGGGTCCGGGGTCAAAGGAACCAGTAGACAATAGGGTGATTTGGCTGTGTCTGGGGCTCAGATTAACCTGGTAGAAGAACAAGTTCTAGAACAGCAACATGCTGGTAACAGGGAATAGACACAGCAAATGGGGCAGAAATATACAGCAGCCACAGGGCAGCCCTTGCCTGACAGTTGATGCACCTCCTCATACCAAGATTGGGATGGAATATGCAGTGGGCTGAAGGCTCCCTGGGCTGGGTTGCACCTGGAGACAGTGTTGATAGTCCTGTCATGCTTCTAGATCTGGGTGGAGCTCAGAGGCATTTGAAAATCCAGAGTTGGGCTATGCAGACTCCTTTACCAAGTGAAATTTGGCTTAGTGCGATGGATAGGCTTTCTACCCTGGCTTGAGTCTTTCCTGAGATGGTGAATCAGGAACTTCCCCCGGTGTTATCTATTGTTCGGTTATTTAGCTCATAGTTTCTTTCCAGAGCATGGACTTATTACTTATGATTACCTCTTCCCTGTCCAATGTGGTAAATGTAATTTGAACTGCTAAGTTGGCTAGCCATGTTCTGTTTCATCAGATTTTATTAATCTTGTCTTTAATTCTATGCCTTTTATTCCATCTCTTTTCATTGTGTCTCCAGGAGGCCATTGTACAACTATTCAAGGAAGCATCTGGTACTGGCTGGAGTCTGGGGTTTGAGGGTTTCTGGTTGCAGCCCCTCTAGCCCCAGCACAGTCCCTGCCTGCCCTGATGACTTCAGGCCTCCTTTGAATTCTCCAAAGAAATGGATGCCAGGAGGGAAAACTGCTTCCTAAACGCCACATTCTTTGAAAGCTCACACTTTCAAATGCTTAGTTTCCATCTTCACATCAGCGCCTATCAAAGAGAGGCTCAAGCTCATTAAAACGTCCCTGTATGAAATGTTTTCTTATTCTTCGCCTTCAGGTTTCCTTCTCAGGGTCCCATGGTGCCTCTGCACAAGCCCTGTGCTTTTCTTCCTTATGCCTTCAAACAGATGAGAGGCAACTAGAGCTTTTCTTTTGACTTTGTTTTCCTTTTCCCTTTTCCCTTTTAGGGAAGCTGACAGGTTCTTTTCTCTTGGGGTAGTTGGGAAAGGAGAGTCCTCGCCTGTTCAGGCCTTCAAGCTTGTCTATAGCAAAGCAAGCACGAAGGTATTATTAGAAGACTGTGATGAAATTTAAAAGCTTCATATTCCTTTCCTGGAGCACGGTGTCTCCCCTGTCAGCTTTCTTCTGGTTGCTTTTCTTGCTGCCTGGAAAGATGTGACTGCTGTTTGACCAAAAGGAAGCATCTACTTTTATTCCAGATGCAAATTGTTTTATATACATAATTTGCCTTTTTACCTTTCCTCTTCACTTCCAAACTCTCATAACCAGAGCACTGAGTCACAGCCACAATGCCATAAATTTATTCATGTCTCTCCTGTTTTTTTCTAATTAACCACATAGATGTCCTAGGTATTTTTCATGCCTCTTCTGTTTCCATCTGAGATTCACAGAGGTATGATCCAATCACATTCTGCATCCCGCTCCCAACCTCCACCACCACCAAAATACATACAAACATACACACATACACATACATAATGGAATCTAGGGGACTATGGGGCATCCCACCTAAGTCCCCTTACAGCTTTATCTGCTTCTGTAAGCTGTCCCTGTTGAGAAGAGCCTAGTGTATGCTTGGTGGCTTGGCAGTTGTGACTGTCTCGGTCAGTTTGCACATACAGCAGAGGGATTGTGTTCCTGGGTAGCATAGGAACAGGTCTTACTGCACACTCATGTGTGCAGCCATGGTTCCCCAAGGCACAACAGTGTGCCCTCAAAGAGCTGGGTCCCAAAGAGCTCCAGGGAGGGCTAGCATTTACCTTTGTCAGTAGTACAGATTTTCCCTTTCCTGACCCTGTGCTCCTAGGACAAATTGAGTGTTGCATGTGCATTCAGCAGTGCTAGGATAGCTCATTTCTTCTAGGGAGATTCTGATAATATTAAACATCACAAAGGAAGGAGTCGAGGGCTCTATGCCCTTTTTTCCCAAGGCTTTCAGGCCCTACTGGAGATATACCTCTTCCTCCAGGTGCCCTGCCGTGCATCCCCATAGTTTCCAAAAGTAATGACTTTGATCAAGTTACCAAGTATGTGATTCTTCCTTTCCCCAAACAATCAGGATCCTGTCATTATATTCTGGAAACCTGGGGAATTTTTAGCAGACCCAGGAAGCATCCTTTGGTACACCTGTGCCAAAGTTTCTCCTCCTCTACCCTAAATCAACATCGCATTTGCACTCTGGAGTGACCCTGTTACGTTTAAAGGAAATGTATTGCTATTAATTTGTTAACTGGGAACACTGAGGAAACATGTCACAAAACAGTGCAGCAAATTTCTGCTCCAGGTGACTTACTTGTTCTAACAGTGGTGCTGTACCTTTAAAAGGTAAAAACTGTATTTGATTTGCGAGAATCATACCCCTTTTGCACTATGGTTCTTAGAGATCAGGAATCTCCTCCACTTCCTAGGCTTCAATTCAACTCCAGAGTCAAAACTGGATTTTACATTACTGTATGGGTGATTGTCTTGATATGTGGCAAGTGCAGGAGAAAATGGCTCAAACGATAATTAATACCTAAAACTAGATGGG